GGCTTTGTCCGAAACTAAGTAAATCTCAGATTGAGTTCTAGAATCATTTGTCTGGCTGTGTCGACCCTGTTCATTATTGAATGAGTTAGTTTTCCTGAAGTGAACCATTGTACGCCTCGTGGACCACATTAACCTTGCACACATGATGGGTCCCTGGTCATACCAAACAATATCATTGTTTTTGGTAAAAAAAAAAAAAATATCACTCATTTTGTTAATCTGTAATCTTGGCTGAGAACTGTAAAATATGCATTACAATGGCTTAATAATATATGGGTAAAAGGAAGGGATGACCACTCACACATTTAACTGTGAGCAGTTTTCACTGCACAATCAGCCTAGTCATTGTAGCCCTTGGACGTCATTTATACCATCCCTGCTGAACTGTTACAATATATATATATATACATATATTTTTTTTTTTTAACTAAGGCCTACAAAATTGACTAAAACTGTATCTAATTTAATTGCTATGATCAATTGCAAATTTAAAACACTGATGATGGATAGTGGATAACTAGTGGACTGAACTGCAGTCACTGCAGCCAGAGGAAAGGTGTCCCGCCTACCACGGGAGTATATGTTTTAGCAGAAGTTCGACCACAAACCATACTATAAAAAAATTTAAAAAAATAATAATAATAATAATAATAGTAGCATAATTTTTTACAAAGACAGGCTCAAGAGATTGGATCATAAGTAATAATAATTATCAGTGAGCCAGTGTTTTTTTATATTTTATGATTTTTTCATGCTAGTAGAATTCGTGGTCGAGCTTCTTTAGTCCTGTTTTGTAAGTACGAGCTGTCGGTCATCGGTCGTAGAATCTATTTGAAGGTAGGTCTTGTACACAATCAATTTTGCTGAAAAATTAATGATGTTCAAAAGTAGGACGGGTAGGTGGTTAATATGAAACTACACAAAGGATTTTAACAAGTTCATACTACATGATTGAACATATAATAATAATGATAATAATTATCTATATTAGTAGAGAGAGAGAGAGAAAAACGTTTTCATCATCTGTGCTATCGCCACACAAATTGCAAATTAGAAAGTCACCCCGGCCCCCCACTCCCCTTATTTAGGGGGTACATATGCTTGTTCCCAACTTTTGAAATCACCCCCTAATGGAAGGAAACGGCCATTTTTGAACCCCCTATTCGTGGGCTTTTCTGAGGAAATTAACCCCCTATTTGAAGGAAGGACTGGATCCTTACCCCCCTAATTGAAGGGAGTCTTGGATGCTAACCCCTAAAGGAAGAGTTAGTTGATATATGCCACCAGGCCAATTCATTGGGCATGGGGACTGCTAGCAGGGTTGGGTATCCTTTTGGGGTTTGTGAGTACAAATTTTCTAACTATTGGCAGTTTAAATCTGCCATTTGTAAAATGGTTAAATTTGTACTTGCAGCCCTGTGCTAGTCAGAATGACTGAAATGGGAAGATGCTGGCCCAGGCGTCCGCGCTGCACACCTTGTGAATCGGGAGCCATGTTGTTCTTTGCCGAGACGACTGAGCCACGAGCGGAGAGTGGGAGTTGTTCCGGAGTTGAGTGCCTTGAGTGAGTTGCTCGACGACATGGTGCATGATGGAGAGGGAAATGATACGATTACCATCCTGACGGACCCCATTATCTTTTCCGCTTCAGAAAGGACATGAAAAGCACGGTGCAGAGTGTTGATAAACCAGGCTTAACTGGGTTGTTAAAAATCTGGCTTTTGACAATTTTTGGGGGAAGGAAGGGATCCAGGGAAGGGAAATGCCTGAAAATATATCCCTAATTTCCGTTTTGGAAGAGAAAATAGCAGTAAAAAACCCTTTTTCCCGGAACGAGAGAAAATTAATCACCTTTTCCCGAAAAATCGGGAATGTGCATGCGGCCCCCTTGACTATCAGAGTGGGGGTGGGGGCGGGACATTCACTATAGTTGCACTGCAGTTAATGTAGGACGTTTTTTGTGGGGGAGCTCTGAATCATTTTGCATGTGCAAGTGTTGTGTTGTGTGTGTGAACTCCCTCTTTCCCCCCCCCCCTCTCTCTCTCTCTTTCTCGCCCCCCTCTCTCTCCCTCTCTCTCTCTCACTCTTTCTCTCACTCACTCTCTCCCTCTCTCTCTATCCATTGCCTCTTCAGCTGCAGGACTATATTGATTCGGGTGTAATGTGATTGATTTTGTGATCGGATCGGGGGTGTGGGATTAGTGGGCCGTTTAAGGGGCAGTGGGGGAGGGGGGCTTGCCCCTGAGCATGCTAATAGTAATGATGATCATAGCAATGATAATAAATATAAGAGAGCTGATAATAACAACAATAATAACAATAACAATAATAATAATAGTAATAATAATAATAATAATAATAATAATAATAATGTTTAAACAATCAAGACCCAATGATGAGAATTTTTTCCTCATCAGGGACCTTTCCTATATTGGAAAGACAAATATAGACAGAAAGAGGATGAGAGACTGGCAGAGAGACTGTAATATATAATCATATG